TTCAGAAGAAAAGTTTAGAAGAAATCACCATGTGAATTATCAGGCCATTTAAAGGAAAAATTCCCTTTGAAAGGCTCAAGAAAGAGCATAAAAGGAGTATTTTCATTAATAAATCACTCTAAGTCAACTTCCCTTAGCTGTTGACTGCCACCCAAACTCCTGGGGTCTCAGAATGTTGTAAAAGCTCTTTGTCTGTGAGACACAAATGGCATCATAGGATGGATGGCACAGTGCTTCCCTCCAGAAAACACCACTCAGAAATCTGTAGATGAATCTTGTAATGTAAAAGCATGAAGAAATGGGATGGTAGATGGAAAAGACATGCCCTGGGGGTCTAAGGAAGGTTGGTGGATTTCCTAAGGTGAAGAATAGTATCATGTGCTTATCCACTGATGGATAATCCAAGCGACAGAGGAGATGAAGTGCAGAAGCAATGCCCTCAGCTAGGCAAAATACAGAAAGGGACAATCCATCCCTTGTGATAGGAGGGAAATACAGTGACCTATATGTGGGTACACATGTAAGACTTTGCGAGGTATGGTAGAGAAAAGATGGTGCAATAATTTTTAGTGAAATAAGAGGCAAAGGAGAAGGAGAGATGGAGTGGATCTGAGGGAGAAAAGAAGTAGTAGTCATCTCAGAGAGGGAGAAAATAAGTTACACAGGCGAATGTGGCAGGATTGCTGGGTAAGGCTGAGGAACCACTTGAGAGAGATGGCCACAGATTGAGAGGGAGACAGTCAGCATGGTCACATGTTTTCTCCTAATCACATCCATTGCTTGAGTGCAGGCACGAATAGATGACCATTAAGTCGAATCAGCATTGGGGTTTTGCCAGTGGAGTACAAAGACAAAGGTGTAGTCATTGATGATAATAAAGTCTAGACCTGGAACCTTAGTGTTTCTAGTGTAGCACTGACATCATCTTGAATCAGAATCTGCATCTTAACAAGATCTCCAAATGATTCACATTAACACTGCAAAGTTTGAGAAATACCTGAGTGGAAGCCAAGTGAGAACAGGAAAAGACCATTGAGAGAGGGGAGTTTAAAGAAATGAGATGTCAGGCTGTTGCATGGGTCCTCTTATGAGGATTTCACAGCCATCAAGACTGATTACAGGAGAAATCGCTGGGTCAAAGGAAAAGACGAACAGAGCTCCTGGGAAAATTATCCAGGTGATAACCAATGACCTGGAAGACTTGGAGTCCTAATGGTAACTGAGGCAAATGGGTGTAAGGAGTGATCGGTGGGTCCTGGTCTTTTAAAGGAAAGAGATAGTTGTGGTTGCAGTCTCATTCTTTGGATTGGTCTCTTGGGCAGTTTATCCTGATCATGAATGCAACCCTGCAGCTGAAGGGGCTGTGGATTTACCAGGAGCACAGTAAACTGTGAGCTCCCTCAAGTCCTGCTGCAGGTGGAGTAGACAGGGAGAGAGATGTTCTCACTGAGAACATAGAGAGAGCTTGGTGAGCTTCTATTAGATCCACACATCAGCATGCCCTATGGGAAGGGGTTCTGTTTGTATAAAAAGTAGGTCTTAAGTACGTAGGACAGTGGTAACTACCCAAAGATCTATGGGCACAAAGATCTGTGCCTATACTAGCGAGCATAATAACTCTGTATCAGACTAGAGGAATTCTTTGCTCTAGAAAAGAAGAAGAAAGACAAAGTATCTTAGAAGCCAGAAAGAAGAAGAGAAAGGAGAGGAACAGAAGATGGGGAGATTCTTATGCTATTCAGGACAACAAAGCTCCCTGGTAGCAGCCAAAGCACATGATTAGAAAGATGAGGCCTCCTGTCCTTCATCTGTAAAAAATTGCATCTATAAAAAGACTCCTCCATTTTTCTTCAAAATATTCAGTATAGCCTCCTGTCCTCATGAGTGTATTTGTGAATGGATCATCAGCAATGATATTGGAGAGAGGCAAAGGTCAGCATAGGTCACAGTCAGAGGAGGACATACAAATGTAAACTCCTAGGAAGTTGAAGAAATTTGGGAGAGAGTTTTGGATATACACAGACTATGAAATTAAGGGGATTACCATGTTAGTTATGAATCTAAAGGGCAATGGTCCCACTAATAACTATATAACATAATAAAATAAATTCTTTTTGAAGACCAGTTATCTGCTTTCTCTGCACATTCCTCTTCCATATCTAAAACCTCCTGTCTTTATAAGCACAATTATTTAAAGGACTGGGAAACATCCCGATGCTTTAACAATATTAACATAAACATCATGTATTATTAATCCCTAGGGCAGGGTCCAATGAGAATGGGAATCAAAGAAGCATTGAAATCTAAAATTTCTTTTTAAAAATCTGAATTCTCAGTAAACCATCCACCAATATGTTCAATAAGTAACAAAATGATTATCTCAGTTCTGCCTACTTTAACTTATTCTTAAAAAGTTGGCAGCCAAAGTATAAGGAGGAAAAGAGCATGAGTGGATAATGAATCTAAGAAGTTAAGAACTGCATGTCTATGTAATAGAATTCAACTTGTACCCCCTAAATCTAGTAACATAAAAAAAGAATTGCATGTTTACAAAATAACAAATAAAGGATCACTACTTTTCATAAATTTACATTCCCTGCACTCAAGGTCTATGAGCTTTCAAACAGGGTTCAACAAGAATTGAGGATAGTGAGCTCTGGGCACCTAACTAACTCCTGACTATCAGAGTCTTCCATTATAGACATTCAGCTCAAAACTCAGACAACTCAAATTAGATGCAAAGCTGTAATTATAATAGAAAACTGAATTATAATTATCCTGGCATTCACCCATAAAAATATTCCCCAAATCTATTTTAAAAATTGAAAACAGACCAGGGTCTCTAAGCATATCTAGGACCCATCTTGGTATGCTAGTTTCATTCAAGCCAAATTTGCATTTATTCCTTAATCACAGTGCTGAACCAGTTCTTTACCAAGAGGAAACAAACTAATTTTGGGCTCCTAAGGAAAGGCCCTAGTAGATCTCTTATTTCTGATAGATAATAAAGCTGCAATCAGCTAAGATCAAATAAGCACGGTATCCATTTTTTGTGACTGGCATAATTTAGCTAGGAAAAGTACATTTCTAACTTTGAAGAGTAGACAAACACACATCACTCACACACACACACACACACACACACACACACACACACACGAGTCTGTCATATCTTTTACCTTCCAAAATAAAGGCCGAGATTCTGAATTTCTTTTCACCTCACAAGGAAATAATTGAGAGCAGGATATCAAAACTCTAGCTGCAGATGCCCATGAGGGATAGCTATGGTCCATCAAAAGTTTTTTAAAATGACATTCTATTTTTAAAATAAGCAAAAAATAAACTATAAACTTTATGCTTGAATATAATGAACACCTGCCTATGTGATGTGATTTGAAATTACACTATAAAGGCTTTCAACTCAGAAGTGCTTTCTCTGTATACATCAAAGACTGAAGCCCAGACTTCCATTATTTGAGATGAATTCACATAGATTCCAACATTATCCTCTCTTAAAATACCTTCGAAAGGGACTTCCATTATTAATGATGACCCCTGAGCTGGGAGCCAGTTTGATGGAGAGGGTGTGGGGGTGGAGTTAAAGAAGGGAATTGAAGTCACAGCACTTTCTTGTCAAAGGTAGCAGGATCTGAAAGAATATTCAACAAGGAGGTAGGAGACCAGAGTCAGAGTCCATCTACCCAATCTAAGTATCAGATTGCATATCTGAAAAATAAAAAGCCTGAATCTGATGATCTCTAATCAGTTCTAAAATGCAACGACTTTTGTGAAGTGAGGAAGGGCTGGCTAGAAGTTTAGGGTCAACCACAAAGGGCTAGGAAGTAGGAAAGCAAAATGTCACAAAAGGTGGGCATAAAACCCCTGGTAAAGAAAAGAGAGGAAGCACTAAAGAAAGTATCACCATAATTGTAATTATGCCAAAAGATTAACCCAATGTGTTGGAAAGCACTTCCACAGTAAGATAATAGTGATGCTTCAAGTGTAAAGGGATCATAAATAGAAACAGAGAGAGAGAAGAATCCTTGGTTCACACTGGGTCACTGCTTTCCTCAAATTTGAATTTTAAAAAATGGAAAACAAACTAGTTTGGCCCAAGGAAATGCTTAAAACTAAAAGGATGATTAGCAATGTTGATGGATTTCCTGGCAAATAAAAAATGCTGCCTTTTATGTTTTCTGCCATGATTACTAGCATTGAAATGATTATGGTAAAATTCACTTCTACATTCAACAGATATTTATATGATACCTAGTGTGTGCTTCTGTTGATTGAGAAAAGAGACACAATGGTGAAAAAGACATCACTACTCTTAAGCTTACAAAATAAGCTTAAAATACAATATATGACAAATATATTAATAAATACAATGAGATATGATGCAACTGAGCTAAGCAAAGGTTAGGGCTTTAGCAGAAGTAGTTTTGCTTTAATTTTTATTTTGGAAAATAATCACAGTTTCTCACATATTCATTCACACTAGCCAAAGTCAAGAATTTCTAAGGACAAGTTTAGACACTTAATAAAAAACAGGAGCTCCTGAACCATCTGCTTTGTTCCAAAAATGAAGATCTATCACATGCAAATTTCCATTTCACTCCAATCCTGTTAGAATATTATTGTCAGATGGGGTAGGTAACATTTGTTTTAAACTGACATGGTTAACAAATTATGCTTGATAAAATGGTATAGTCAGTGCCTCTTTAGGGTGAAAAAAAAAGCAAACCATCATGTGAGCCCAAAAGTCACTCACTTTCAGCAAGTTCCTTTGATCTGTTTGAGTGTCCTGTTACTAATTGTCTTCTGATGAAGAAATATGCATGACAAAATTTAAAGAGAACAACAGAACTGTTATAGCCAGACATAGATACATTACAGAATATGCTGGAGGGCTTTTTAAAAAAGAAGAAATCATTTTCCAAATTCATATCAAACAAAACTACAGACTATAGTAGCCTAATCTTAGCTTGTTGTATTCTTACCTGATAAGGAACAATACTGCCATGAGCTGTGCCCCAACGTTTCGCCTCCTTTTGGCCAGTAAGATAATTAGCAGCTACCTGGGTCAAACATGCTACCTACCAGGAAAAAAAGAAAGAAAGAAAGAAAACTGAATAGCTAGTTTGTCTACACTTATAAACAGAATATAATAATATGAAATTTCACTTCATGTCATTACAGAAGAAAAAAACTGTCCACATTAGAAAATACACGGACATCTGTACCTTCATCATACAAATGAACAGCAGTGTTACATTGTTCCATGAGACTAAGTAATAGTCAATTGAGAAATATAAATACATAAACATTTAGCTCCTCAAAAGATCATGTGAAGAAAGAGGTTGACCAAAATGGAAATTTGGTCCAGCCTTTAGCATCAAAGCCATAGCACATACATCAGCAACTAGTACATTTCTTTTCCCTCTGCACCTATCTCGTTTTACTTTTCATCAAGATGACAAAAAAAGAACCTGTGTTACCACTGAGTAGGTGAACCAAAGCCATGAGCCACATTCCTCTAAATTTCTCGTGACATGAAAAAGTGCTAATATTAAACCTCTATTTTATTTAGGCAGGTTTTCTGTTACTGCTGCCCAAAGCATTCTGACACAGTGGATCAAGATTATTTGACTTTCTTTTATTCATTAGTGAATCATCCTAATTTAAACAAAAATTACTATACCTCTCCCAACTTGTTCCTAGCCCCTTACCCTCTTTATTATACTTCAATTCAGTTTTTGAGAACAATTAATCTATTAGAGGGGTCATCCAAAACCTTAGGGTCAACTTCTGACTCTTGCAGCATTTTATGGACAGATTTTGAAAAACCTACAATAGTTCAACTTCATCTGCGTATAATATGAGGATAATGACTTAATTCCTAGTGATCTTCCACAAGGATCTTATGTTCCAATGAATACTTACGCCTCCAGGGCCCAGAACTGCAGAAAGGAGGTAACTAAATGAATTTCCATAGTTTCTAGGAAGAAAAAAATCTTCTAGCCTTACGACATAGTCCTGATATACCAGGGGCTTGCTTTTCCCTTTCTAGGTCATCAGATGCGATTGGGAGCCTACCAAGCCAGCAATTCAAACATATCCCAAATTGAGATTTGCTCCTGGAACTCAAGGGGTGATTTTCCAGGGCTTGGTACCACAACATTTTATTGCCCCCTCCCTGGCAGCCATGCCTCCTACAAGAGATAGCGACAGGACCCAGCCTGGATGAATCTCCTTGCTGTAGCAGTCATTCTCCTTTACTTTATTCTTGGGATTTACACTCACTTTTATGTTCATTTACTGCTCTGTAGAAATTGGAACTGCCTTGTGGCAGCTGGTTTGGCTGTACTGCCCAGGTGGCAAAACTAATAAACTTTGAGTCATCCACTTCTGGACTTCCATCTGGTCTTGAGCATTTGAACCATGGAGCACTCCAGGGCTGCCTGGGGCTGCCTGGTGCTAATCGGCATTTCACAGATCACTTCTGTGTCTTTCAAAATGCAAAATCAAATCAACATTTTGTAGTCAAAATGCCCTGGATGGGAAGTCCAGGCATGGATGGTTAAAACCTGGATGGTTTCTAATTTCTGTCAACCTATAAGTACTTGCATGACTGTGGATATAAAATTTAACTTCTTTGACCTTCAGATACATTCTCTATATAGTCTTGGGCATTTGGGCTAAACTAAAAGTTTTCTAACTTGTTTTAAAAAATCAGAACTCTCGTATTCAACCAAATAATACTTGAAATCCTAATATATAAGCAGATAATATCCCAAGTGTTCAGAGGAAGCAAAGGCAGTCCTGCAATATCACCCCAGACAGCATGAACACACAGCAAAATTTGCAAAGTAGTAAATAATCTTAAATTTGTTTCCAAGGCAAATTGGGTCTACACTTCCAATTCTATTATTTCTCTAAACAGTCTGGTGAATAAAAAGACACAAAGGATGCAATAGTGATTCTATTATTTCTCTAAACAGTCTGGTGAATAAAAAGGCACAAAGGATGCAGTAGTGGTCACTTCCCCATGACAGTCCTCCTGAATTCTGGGAAATTTTCTCAAGTCTGAAGTCTTTCCTATAAGACAGGTGCTTCTTTGATCTAGCTATTTTGTGGTTCTTTTTATTTTTTTTTTCTTTCAAATAAATTCTGGTGACAGTCACTCTCCAAAGGGTTCTGGTGCTACTGAAGGCCAAAAATTCAAATTAATGAAGGTTATTCTTTGCAAGCAATTAATCCTAAGAGGCTTTGGTATTGTTCCTTCTCTTATTTCAAAGTCAATTGGATAGTCAATAGACCACCATCAGCAAAAGCTGCGTGAGGCGGGCTGATCACAGGTTAACCTGGAAATTGTAAATCAACCTGAAATAGTTGCTAGGGAGAGGCAAGGACTGGATTCTAGGCTGGATATCAGTCTGGCTGCCTCATTTCTTACCCACTATCTTATTCTTTCTCTTCAATTTTTGACTTCTGTGTTTCTGACCCTGCCTCACTTAGAGCGAGTTTGAATGAGGGTCAGAACTCATCTCTCAAACTGTTTCCAAATGGAATACCATATGCATTTCCCCCATACAGTGGTAATTCATGAAAACAAAAAACATTTCAGAATTAGCAGGCTACCACTGGGCAAAAGGGTTAAATAAAATTTGAAGCCAGTTGCCATCAAAAAAGTATAATTTGTCAGTAACTACTCAAAGGCAAAGATGGGGGGGGAAGAATTCTATTTTAAAAAAGAAAGCAACAGGGCTAAACTTAGCAACTTGATGTTTAAAGAGGGCATTACAATTCTGAAAGTAATCTACTATTTACAAGGATGTATTTTAAGGCAGGAGAAGAGGGAGAAATTCAACAGCTATGGCATGATTATGTATGAAAAATCAGAGGTTTCCTGGGCAATTAATGACAAATTTTCCACAAATTAAAAGAATGCAGGATGTGACTTTTAGGTTAATAACTACATACTGTATATCCATTCTAAATATTGCATTAGATCATTACTTTCATCCTCTAAACGTAGGCTCATTATTTCATCAAGTGGACGCTATATAATTTACTCAGAATGTTGCCTTTATATGGTTTCATCTAAACAAAAAAGCCAACTTTGGTTTAATAATAATCATTCTGACAGCAAAACTATTATTTTAGATAACATAGTGGGCCCTGATATTCTTTGTATCTAACCAGAAAACCAATGGGGTGGTGGTCAAAATGGATCTTAAAGGGCACAGCCCCAGAAGGATTGAGGAAGAATATGCCTAATTATTTCCCAAAGCAGCCCAGCCCCATGGAGTCTGTCACCACATGTTCTACTTCTACCAAATGAGGATCAAGATGCAATAATAGAATCTTTCATCTACAAAAGGACAAGTAGGTATGACAAGAAAAACAGGCAAAACAAGACTAGAACCATGGTCCATTGTACAAAAACAGTTAAATTTTTTCTTGCATGTATTCTGGCCTCCAACTAAGTCGGATTAAACACCAACCATGCAACCATGCGCCTGCTCATACCTCCACTCATTCTTCAAAGTCCATTTGAACATCACCTTTTCCATTAATCCCTCCACCCCAATACCCAAGCAAGAAAATATTTTCCTTAACTGCTGAATGAATACATTTACCTGACTTAAGTTACCTGACTTCTGCTGTACTTTCACAGTTTTCCTTGTACTACAATTAGAATTTTAAGATGTCAAAGCTAGAAGAATCTAGGTCAGTACTTCCTAAACCATGTATCACACTCAACTAGGGAATTCTTGGACCCCACCCCATACCTACTGCATCCAATTTTCCAAGGATGGAAACCTGGGGGAAAAAATACTTTAACCAGTATAGCTTTACTTGGACACCAGATTTTAGAACCAAAACCTTAAGAGCCTTAAGAGAGTCTAGTAAAACCCCTTAATATACAAATGGATAAAGGAACAGAGAAGGTAAATAACTTATCTGAGGTCACACAGCAGTTTAGTAGAACTTTAAACTACTCCAATTACAGTGTCTTCCCCTATTCTTAAATATTATTTGTATCTTCTTCTATCCCTCCTCTTAAATTAGAAGATATTCAGGGTAAGAACTATGTATTATAAACCCTTTGTATGTTCTCATAGCACCTAACACAGAGCCCGAATACTAATTTTTTTTATCAAATGAAATGGTAAATACTCCTTATTTATTTATTCAACAAATACTGATGGCTGCTATGTGTAAGTCATTACACTAGGTACTGGGTATACATACCTAAATGAAAAAGAATAGTGCTGCCCCTTTTGGACTTAAGTAATAGTGGAGTAGAAGATTACTAAACATACAATTATTGGAACTTGCCATGGCAAGAGGAAATAGAGGAGAACTTTCTAAAACAAAGAGAGTAACATGTAAAAGCTCTAAGGCAGGAAAGAGGTTGACATACAGAAAGAAAAAAACCTGAAAGCAGACCGCCAAATATAATATAACTGAAGCATGGTAAGAAAGAGACATGAAATGAAATAGGAGAGGTTGACAGAGGCCAGATCATGCCAGACTGTGTAGGTCACGATAAGGAGCCATCCTTTGCACATCTTTCAGAATGATCATTTTAAATCACAGATCATATCATGTCATCCTTCTATTTAAAACTCATAGGGCTTCCCACTGCATTTGCAAGTATATTAAAAGAATGAACTACAGAGAGGCAACAAAGACACAGACTGTTACAGATACAGCCAAGGTCCAGGCATAAGTTGATGATAGCACAATCTAGGTTGGTGGCAGGGAACATGGAGAAATCAGTGGATTTAAGGTATATTTTAAGAATAGGAAGAATATATGAAAGATTGTATGGAAAGAAGATAAAGGTAGAATGGTGAGGGAGAGGGAGGACGAAACATAACACCCATAGTCCTGGCTGAATAACTGGGTAAACTATGATGGAATTAATAGAAATAAGGCAGACAGAGAAAGAAAATGATTGACAGGGAAGAAAATAAGAATCCACCTCTGAATATGTTGAATTTGACATGCCTGTGAGACAATCAGTTGAGATGAGGTTATCAGCTACAGAAAGTATTTAAAGTCCTAACCCAAGAGAAAATAAAGA